TTTTTTTTTTTTTTTTTTTTGAACCTTTATCTCCTGACTTCATTCTTTCCCCGGTCAGTTCTGTTTAACTGATTCATGTCCCATCTTTCTAGTCTACTGTTATAACTTAATTTTTAGGCCTTTAAAAAAAAAAAAAAATGGTTCCTTGTCTGGGTCTTTTTCTTTTTTTTTTGGTCCACAGAAGATTTGTTGTAAGCTGGTGTCGAGAAACTTCTAAAGGGCAAAGGGCAGCCTCTGTCCTGTGCCCCCTGAAAAATCGCTTCAGGTTGACAGGAATATAGTAACCAGTAACGCCTAAAGTTGATTAACCGCCTGTGAACTCACATGACAGGGCCATCATGTCATGCACACTCATCTCTCCTTTGTCAAGGCTAAAACCAAGAGATAGCACATTCGTGACCTCTCCAGTCTATCCACCTAGAAACCCCACCAAAAGGATGAAATGAGGTTAGCCTGCCAAGGCTTTATCCAGGAGACCCCCTACTGGTACGCAAATGATGTTATTTATCTTCCCTAAATAGCCCCGTGGCATCTGAATAATTTCTCCTAAATTTTTTTTTTTAACGGAGGGTCCACATCAAACATAGCAGCCTCAAGTTTCCTTTTTCATTTTGACATAGGGACACCGGCACTCTTCTCGTCTTCTGACTCCATTTCTAGTCTTTGTGATTTCCTAAACATGATTAGAAGCAATCCACGCACTCCTTCAGGATGTAATTAGTTTGCAGCTGAAACTTGGACTCATTTGAAGTGCCCTCCTATGCTCCGTCGACTCTCCCTCTCCCATTGGTAGCTTTTGGTCAGCATTTATTGTGCCTTGCTTTTCAAATCTGAGCATTGTTCTCATCCCTGAAGAATCTGGAAACAGAAGATGAGGTTGTGTCATCTCCTCGCTCCCTGACCATTGTTTGAGGACTGTAGTGCGAGCATTCCAGGAGGACTGGCCCTGCTGTCTGCCAACAGTTGGGACTTCAGGTCCAGCTTTGAGGATGGATGCAAGGAAGCAGTGGGCGAGGCAGGAAGTATCTGTCTGGCCAGTCTGATTGGTGGATGAAACCCTGGCCCACGGTGAGAAGTAGGGGCAGGGCTGGTGACCGCTGGGCTCCTTCCTCCCTGACAGTCTTGAGGCTCTGCTGTCCTCCCTGAACAGGAACTGTCCTCTTCTTGCTGTGAATTTTAAGAAGCCTTGGTTGACATGTCTGAGAATGGTGGAAAGCCTTGGCTTGTTCCGAATTTTAGCTGTCCTCAGTTGTAGAAAATCATTCATTCATCCTGGAAATATTTATGGCATTCCTCCCTTATTTGCAGCCCTGTACTGCAGAATAGGGCCAGAGGGTAAAGAAAAAACAACAAAAACGAAACAAAACAAAAAAACCCTCAAAGTACTTACCCCACTGGCTCACCATACATGTGTTGGAGGACATAGTCTTCCTACCACATGGTCTTCCTTCCAACAGGTGACCGACCAGGGGAATTTAGGGAAGGGAGAGAGCACGTGAGCTCATTATAGGAGGACACAATGACGTTATCTCGTGTTTAGGGTCACTTAGGAAGAAAAAAAATACTATCATTATAAAGACATTTACCCTGGGAAAGGAGAGGTAACATTTCATTTTATTCCATTACATTTTAACACCTTTCCGCAGAAAGACTGGGTAGACCTCCAACCTTAGAACAAAGTGTCCTCGTTTACCTCCTGTACACCCCAAAGTCACTTGTAGCATTTCCCTCTATTTGAGGAAGGCCATGCTGCTGTCTTTGAAGGTCCACATCACATCAATCCATTCTCCAGAAGGGATGGGCTCCTGTTAAAATGTTGCCTTGTTCCAGGGTTTCCTCTCAAGTGCTTGACCTGAAGTGCATTATTTACTGGGGGGCGGGGGGGGGGGTAGGGAGAGGGGCTCTCCCTCATTGATCACCATCTGGAGGCTTCGATCCAGGGTGGACTATTCATACCACTGTTCCTCCTGCCCCTCCAAAATGGATTTGTAGTGACAGATGTTTAAAACCAAACCAAGGGCTCCTGGGTGGCTCAGTCGTTAAGTGTCTGCATTCTGCTCAGGTCATGATCCCAGGGTCCTGGGATCGAGCCCCGCATCGGGCTCCCCGCTCGGCGGGAAGCCTGCTTCTCCCTCTCCCACTCCCCCTGCTTGTGTTCCCTCTCTCGCTGTGCCTCTCTCCGTCAAATCTTAAAAACAAACCAAACCAAATCCACATCACTCTATTCTTCCTTGAACTCTTTAATTGTTGTTTTGGTATTTTGTACCTTTTTTCTTCCCACGCCTAAGGTGATCAGATAGCTGGCCTGGGTAGGTCTGTCCCCATGTACTCCTTACCTGAATCATTCAAAATTATTCTGCCAGGATCTCTTTTGTTCCGAGTCTTCCATCCCTTGTGATCTCCAATCTTCATTAGTTTCAGCTCACAGAACCTTGCTCATCGTTCTCCGAATTATTTACATCCTGCTGTATAAACTAAGATAGTATTTCTTGTTGCCACGTTTCTCTTCCTCCATCACTGCAGGTCCTGAGACACCGTGGGCTGTTTTTCCTCTGTGTCCCCATGGTTACCATAATCACAAACCCAGCGTCCCAAAGGCACAGTAGAAAAAGCATTCCTGACCCCATGCCTTATTCCTGATATGCACTCAGATACCAAGTTCCCTCACCACACGCGCGAGCATCTGTCCTGGCCACCCTGGCTTCTGTGTGGCCCCACACGCTTCTGCAGAAGCCCTCCCCGTGGCTGGTCTGACCTGCTGCCTGTGTCCCCTGCCTCCCGTCTGCTCCTCGTCCTGCCTCTCTGGGGTGTGTGTCTGATCCTGGCTCCCTGGTAACGTTGCACGGCTTCCCTTTGCCTACCGGATGATGATGATGATCCGACTTCTTAGCGTGGGAAAGGTAGTCTTCCATAGTCCGGCCTTGATGACCTTCCCAACTTCGTCTTCCATCATGTCCCTTCCTATTCTCCCTCTTCTTTCAGACATTCCAGCTCATTTTCTTTTTTCCCCTACCTCTCTGCTCTTCCCGGTGTATGCTTTTCCCCCTCTGCCATGCCTCGAGCCCTCCTAAGAGCCAGCAGTGGCTCCAGGAAGGGATTTTTCTAGGCAGCCCCATGTAGGCGCTGCGTGCCAGGGGGTGCTGTCCTCACCTGAAGTAAGGTCTGGATGGGAGGGCAGTTTCTCCTGCAACATCTCACGCCTGGAATCTGCTTTATTTGCCACTGCACAAAGGGACACTAGTGTAACAGGCTCAGGATGGCTCAACTGAAGCGGCTTCCCTAGAGGCCCGTGGAAGGGCCAGAGACCTCAGGTGGTGGCTCCTGGTCCTTTCCAGTTCCAGGGCCTTGCAAAGACTAGAGGTCTGGGAGGCAGAGCCAGCTACCTGGGTGGTGTCCTCTGGAGTGCCCTCCCTATGCTGGCTGCCTCCACATCGTGTGCTCCAGCTCTCGAGGTAAGTCGTAGGGGCTAGGCTCGGACAGGGACAGGTCACAGCTACTCTGGTGAGGTCACGCCCCGCCCCTCCCTGCCCCTCCCCGCCCCTCCCCACCCCTCCCCAGCCAGTGCTGCCTGACTTGCACTGCTTCTGGGCAGTGGATGGAACGTGAGCCCTGATGCTCCCCTAGAACAGGCGCAGAGGGAAAGGGCATCGGCATAAGAGGCATTGACGTGTTTAAAAGAAGCAGGAAAAGTCTCAGAGACGTGAGGAAATACAGGAAATCGTTTTTGGGGGTTTTCCCCCCATTTCCGGAGAACCGTGTGTTTTTTCCGAGTGTGGTTCCACCCAGAACCTCACGTGGTCTTCCCCCAAATCCCCCGAGTAGGCGAGGCAGGTGGGTGAGCGGGGTGAGGCTTGGAAAAGTGAAATGCCTTCCCCCAAGGTCACCCAACGTGGCAGGAAGAGCTGGGCTGGGACTCGAACCCAGGTCTTCTGACGCCGGTGTTCTTTCTACTCTACCACAGGTGTAACGTGGAGAAGGTGCCCGGTAATTCTCAGTTGGAAATAGAAGGAAACAGGTCAGGATCCGTCTTGTATCCCCTTGTCTCTGAATACAGGTATCCCTTGGTGCAGCACACAGACCGACTCCGAAGGAGCCGGCAGCCCGTTTCTCTGCGTGACCGCCCCCCCTCCCCGACGGCCCCTGCTCGGGGTGGGGGATGGAGACGCACGGATCCTCTAAAACATCCTCCAGGGCTTTCGAAGGTGTCTGTGCGCGCTTCAGTTTGGGTGCGCCCGCGTTCTAAGTGCCCTTCCTCCTCCCTGCCGCACCTCGGAGACGGGCTTCTGTGGCTTCCCCCTCCCACGCACTTCTGTCTTAACACCCGCGGGCCTCCTCCCCTGGGGCTGCCTTGGTGTGGAAGCTTCCCGAAGGGCGCCTGTGGCGGTGGCGCTCCGGCCGGGCGCGGAGAAAGGCGCGTGCTGGAGTTAACGGGGCCGCGTGCAGAGCGTCGGCGCCCCGGGGGGGGCTGCTGGCCTCACCTGCACCTCGCTTGCCCCGTGGTCCTGAGCGTCCCGAGCCAGGCCGTTTGACTTTTGTGTGCTTTTGCTTCTGGGGGTGGAAAGCACAAATGCTTTCCGCCTCGAGATTTCGGGAGAAGGAGGTGATGTTGGTCGCGTGGGAGAGGGCGGATGTGCAGGACTTCCCAGGGTTAGGAGCTACTAGTCCTAAACGGAAGACTTTTTTCTTTCAGTCAGCCTGAACTTAAAAAAAAAAAAAATTGATATGATACTTGACTATCCCTATTCTCTTTGTGTCGGTTGACCCAGTGACATCCTTTACAGCATTTTTTTTCCTCACTAGCGTAGGAACCAGCGTAGGGCGAGGAGGAAGAGGCGTTGAAGCTTCTTTTCTAATGCATTCCAGAATGAATACCCATCCTCAGTTGCGCATATAAGGCAATGAAACATGGGAATGATTTGGGCCTACCCGTGTCTGTGTGGGGATGGGACTATTGTGCAAGATGGTTGATTTTTTTGTTTTTCTTTTTGGATAATTCCCACTGGTGTTGAGGAAACAGGGTTCAGCCCTGGAAGCCAGACACTCTAACCGTGGTGTTCACTGCGGGGACATCAAGAATTGTGTTTCGTTCTTGGCATCATGAGACCGAACTCCTCTGGATTTACAAATAACTTTGACTTTATTACTTTGGCCACTTTAAATAAGGAAGCAACTTGGATAAAAGCTTCCACCACCCTACCCACCCCAACATGGAAAGGAGGCTTTATGGTCTAAATGGGGTGATGTGGCTAAACGCCCAACCCGGTTAACAAGGACAGACATAAGCTCCCCCCCGTCCATCAAAATGGTCATGTGACCATGAAAAGTGGATGAATCGCAACTTTAAGGAGTATTGAAAGCCTTCCGTGTCGTGCCTGGGCTTTTCCTGGAGGTGATAGGGCTGTATGTAGCTGGGATCCAGATACATATATTTTTACAGAAGACACATTTAAATTATGATTTACAGAGCCAGAGCAAGGGGCTTGAAACTTACTCTGTCCGGGCTCTGGAGTCTTTCTCGTCCCTTACTGGCATGTACGCTACTTTTTTCCATACACCCAAGTTTATGATGTGTCGTTCAGAGTTTGTATTAGGATGAACAGAATTCGAAAGTTCTTTTTTCATGTGTTCAGAAGCACTGGCCATTTTCTGTGCCAGTCTCTGTGCGAGTACTGAGAATGGGGTAGAAATGAATCCAGTGTAATGCCGTAAAGCATAGTTGGCGAGAGCTACGGAGGAAGAACACGTACCGGGTATGAGTACATTGTGTACGGGGAGGGAGGGGGGCGTCGCAAGGAGTGGCGAAGGCATCGGGTCTAATCGTGCGCAGAGTGGGGACCCCCAAGTAGACTGCAGGGGTGGAGGACAGGGCAGAGGCACTCAGTCCCCTGTGCATGGGCCACCATGGTGATATCTACAGACCATGTGGATCCCAGTAGGACTGGACCCCGCAAGGAAGGGAAGGGGGCCTTTGGGACAAGGTGGTGGGTGTGAGAACAGAGGTGGCTTCCCAGACGTGTGACTGACAAGACCCCAGAGCAGACCGGACGTGAGAGAGAACCTCCAGATCGCCCGGGGGTCTCTGCTAAGTGAACGTGGTGCCAGTCGCAGGGATGCAGGTGGCAGGACAGGCGGCATGTGTGGGTGCCACATGCGTGCACGGCTACCCCGCCTGACGTCCTCCCTCCCAGGACATCCAATTTCTCTGCGTGGCTGTAAACTGCCCTTGAGGTTGTGATTACGTTGCTGGTATCGACTATCCCTTCAGGACTGGCCGAGGAGCTCTTTTAGATGAAATTTATTTTTAGCAATGTTGGCACCAGACATTGTGTCTTTCTTTAAATAGGGGAGGGAGGCTAGGACTATGGATCTCAGGCCCAAGCACTTTTGCATATAGTAGCTCTAATTAGACGAGAAAGTCTCATGAAATAGTAGTGTGACCAAGTGGACACACTTGTAGAAAATCTTCGTTGGAGGTGAAGAGCCTTTCTTGCTGCATTGGATACTTGGGGCTCAGCCTCAGGGCCGACAGTTTATCTTACGTAGCTGCAGCCTGGTGAGGTCGTAGCCTCATGCATTGTCTGGGAGGGTGCTCCCCAGACTGGGGTCCTCAAACTCCAGTCCTGTAGCTTCTTGGAGATCCCCCGGTGGTGCAGTTAGAGGCTCTGAGAAGTCTGATCAAAAGTAACCTATGGAGCTTCATTCCACCCAGTGTGTCCCAAACTCCTTCGACCAACAAAACCCCCTTTTCCAGGGAGATGCGTTAAAAATCCATTAAGCTTGTGTTCCGTGGAGCACGCTTCGGGAAATGCCGACGTGGAGCTCAGGGGTGGCATTTCGTCCAGGGAGAATTTGCTCAGGGAAATGTGGATTTCAGTACTTTTATTTTTCCCTCATGACAAATATTGCTACTTCTCACACGTTTAGTAGAAAAGGCTACCTGGACTCCTGGTGACTTGACACTTATTTATGATGCTCCGCCAGTTATACCCACATAAAGCAATGGGCAGCCCACAGATAGCCTGTCTGCTTTCCAAGGCGCAGAAGGCCTCCCGAGGCTTCCAGGGTCAGTCTGGCCTGGAAGAGCAGGGTCTCTGCCTCTCAGAGCTGCAGACCAAAACCAGCACAAATGACCTCTCTCTGCGGGAGGAGGAGGAGTCCCAGCTGGATAACAAGGCGGGTTTTCTTACAGGCTGATAGAACCGTCTTTAAAGCCACTCCATAAGCATTTTAATAAAAAACGGATTGCTCTGAAAGATGGCAGTTATTGGGCATATATGTTCTTGCATAGTCATGGGGAAAAAATTCTGCCTCCTTCCTTAGAATCACACATCCTACATCTTCCTTAGGAATTTGCTAAAATAGCAACTCAGGACAGAGCAGCCCTCCGGTGCCCCCTTTAACCCACCCCTCTAACAAAGTGACGCGTGGGACTTGAGGCTCAGGTGGGGAGGCATTTGATTTTGTTTGCCTGTGACAGTTTTGTGCTTTTGAGTTTGATCACATTTCAGCCAAAAGCTTTGAAGTGTTTTTACCGTGACGAAGTAGAGACACAGGGTCGGATCCAAGAATAAAATACTCGGGAAGGGAAGGTGGGTCCTTGCCTTTTGAAAGGAGGGCTTTCTTTGAGTGCTGTCCAAGTGTTCAGGATGACATGACCTAGACTGGTGAAGTAGCTGACCAAGGTCACAGGTGGACAGGTGTGCAGTTAGGATTCGATACTTCTACCTGCTCTTAAGAAATGTCAGGTGAGAAAAAAGGGGGAAGCAACCAGACATCCTGGGTCAGTATTTCTAAAAGAGTCAAGGGATAGGTGATCTCAAAGTTTCCTCAAAATGCTTGTCTAAGCAAAGAAATCATATTCTCAGAATCCCACGTCCTGACAAGCACCTTTGATTTGTAGTAGTAAGTTTGAGGAGAGAAAGCTGAAGAAATAAATAGGAACTTAACAGTATAGTAGATTCTAATGATTGTGATACATTATAAATTTGATGCAATTCTATTTATTTGGCTTTATTATGGTAGAATTAAAAGGTGCCAGTTGGTGAAATGTACTTATGGTGATACAAATAAAAGTTGGTCATATACCCCTTAGATATCATTTCCCCAGAAAAAAAATTTGATTAGATTTTTGACTTAGAGCATGTTTTCAAAGAAGGTAACCCAGTAAAAGTGTTGGAGACCTACTTTATTTACGGATGATGATATGGTTCCAAATTACATTAGAGTGTAAATCCTCTTTCTGTTGAATCAGAGTGCGTTGTTGTGAATATTTATGCTTTGGCATATCTCCTTGTGGTCCTTAGGTTATGACTTTTTAAAAACCTAGTTGCAGTTGTACTGCATTTACAGTTTGATACCCTGTGTTCTTTATTTACTTATTTTTACTGAAGGTCCTAACAAGGATCTCTCCCTTCTTCAAGGCATCATCTTTGAATTCGTCATTTCAGACTCTGTAGCATTCTATTGTCCTTTCCCCAGCACACGTTCTGGATGGTTTCATTTAGTTATTCTAAATAACGCTGTGCTGAACATCATTCATGTATGTATGTGTCTGTTACATGGACGTACTTCTATTACACACGTGTTATTGGCCTAGAGTGGATCGCCAAAAATAGAACCACGCAGCAGGGTATAAACCTTTGCTGCTTTTCTTACTGAGCTGACTGAGCCTTTTATCAACTGCTAACATTGGGGCACTTACCTTGCATTAATTAACCTGATGTAACCTTATTTTTGTTGACACCTCAGGCACATCCTGTATCTACGCTCCTAACACAGCCCTTGGGGTGATTTTTACCCACCACCACTTCCACTGCCAAAGGCAAGCTTACCCCAGTCGCATTCTGTTTTGCCATAACCTCCCATATTCTTCAGGTTTCCAAGCTTGTTAGGAATTATCGATCAATTATCGATCAGTACTCGGTAAGACTCAGGTGAGAGATCTCAGTAGCGAACACGGAGCGCGGGTGCTTCTCACACCTGTTTCGTGCCTAGCTCGGGTCTCTGGGAGCTCTCTGGGGGAAGTGGGGTGCTGCTGTGTTTCAGGTACATTTTTAAGTGGTTTGTATGAAACCTTACCAGAATCTGACCCTGAAAAGCAACAGCATGCTTTCACCTACTGCCCTCCAATGTTGACCCAATTTTTTAAAGTTTTCATCCCAAAAGATTTCCTGTGTTTGATTCCTTATTGTAGTAACTTTTTTTTTTTTTTTTTTTTGTAAAATCCTTCTAACCCGAAGTGGGTATTCTAAATCATGACATCATTGTTTTGCGTTTTGTTTTTTTTTTATGGAGGCAAGATAGGTTTTGTTTGTTACGTGTAAACATGGGTCTGTTTCAGTGTTAGCTAAATTTCACTTTTTTCAGAAGTATCCATTATCCATGCTTGTCAACAGATCAGCCTGGGCAGATAAGAAAATCCTAAACAAAAACCAAAAACCTCTCACCCAATACCTTATCTTCTTGGTTTGGGTTTACAGGAAAGGCAGAATAGCCAGCATTTTAAAGGATTAGGTCTCTTAGCTAGCACTTCCGTCTTCTGCCATACCTGAAATGTAATCGAAGGGAAAGCTGATGTTTATGTGACATTCATGTATGCTGTCACCATTTTAGAATCCCAGGAGTACAGATGTGAAAGTTGTGTGTGTCCCTTGGTTTGCGGAAGTAAGGGGAGAGAAGTGGGTTCCCAAACGAAGCCCAGCAAAGTAAACTTCACCTGTGTGCCTGCATATCCATGTGTATGCACACACGCATACGAACGGTACATTTGGGGTTTGCAAACCACTGTTCCCACAGTGACACGGGGGGCCCTTCCGTCTCACACACCCTGACATTGGGGCCACGTGTGTCTGTGTCTATTCACCTCTGTGGGGAGGAACCCCTGGTCTGCTGGTCGACCAGCACCTGGAAACTCTCTGCAGTGCACACTGTTATTTTATATTTTAGGTTACGCTCCTCCGCCACCCAGGTTCCTTATCAGGGTCACGTTTCCTGTTCTGTGATAGATCTCTGTATGAGATCGATCTGAAGTAACGGACCATCAGTGGAATCCTTTTTGGGAGCAGGGAAGCGGGTATCATTTCGGTCATGGGAAGCAGCCCTCTTCCAGCGAACAATTTCTACTTAGAGTCCTTAAATTGTACAACGTGACGTAATGGAAAATACCTGGGGGCCGGGTAGGTTAAGCATTTCAACAGAAACAGAACACCTTCTGCAAACCATTGTACAATTAGTCCATTGTTCTGGACTTAAAAAAAAAAAAAACTTTCCAGCCCTGGGGTGAAAAAAAAAAAAGCATTTGAAAAGGTATGTTGAAAAAGCCTTTGCTCAGCTTAAGTTTGAAAAAGAAATGCCAAGAATTCAAAACTCTGTCAGGCTGTTTCACTTCCTTTTTTTTTTTTAACCTTTAATTTAGGGGGGAAAAATAAGTTACTGTAGTGATCTTGGTAGCAAGTGGTTCTACCTTGATGCGTTCTTTTTTTTTTTTATTAGAGTGCCCACAAGTTGGGGGCAGGAGGTGGGGAGGGGCAGAGGAAGAAGCAGACTCCCTGTTGAACAGGAACCCGACACGGGGCTCCATCCCAGGACCCTGGGGGTCATGACCTGAGCTGAAGGCAGACGCTTCACCGACCGAGACACCCCAGGCACCCCTACCTTGCTGCATTCTATAGGTCACCTAAAGCTGGATGTCCTCCTGACATTTCTGCCCAAGCTGGTCATCAGAACCACTCCTCCGACAGGGAGGGGGATGCTCTTGGCTGCATGTAAGGTGTTCCCACCCGCTTTGGAAAAGAGGAAATAAAAAAAAATGGGTACATAGAAGAATTAAGTTCTGGGCAGGTAGTTTGATAGTAAGAATTTCTTCCCATTTTCATGGAGAATGGGTTCTTGAAGTATGGTTGGGGGCATGGAGGCTGGAAATGACTAAGCAAGTGGGGGTTGACCACGATCTTCACGGGCACACAGGAAAGAAGCTGTCGTGACGAGAAGAGTCAGGTCATCAGTATAGACTGGGTTTGTAGGGCATGAGCAGAGGAGGGCTTTGAAAGCCAGACCGAGATGTCTGTATGATGATCGCACCAGCAAACCGCAAGAGGTCTTTTCCAGTAGCTTCCAGGTCTTCTGTTTGCCTCTGTCCTCAGGGAGACGGGAGAAAGGCAGCAGGACAGGAATATTGAGTAAGCCCTTAGTTTTTAAACAGTATCAACAAAATTTTGTCTTACTTTCTGAGTCTCAGAATGTTCAGCTCTCTCCTTTATGAGCACAGATAATTCTGGACCTGTCTCGTCACAGGGTCTGGAATTGCCACAACCTAAGGGCAGGGACATCGGACCAAGATTGTTTGGGCCATTTTGCCCCCATTCGCAAGCGCCTTATCACATTCTTGGTGAAAACAGCTTATTTCTTATTTCACCAGTAGCACAGTTGAAACCGAGACTCTGTCCGTCACAGGTGTACAAAGCACAGATGTCCTTGTAATCCATCAATAGAAAAATGACACCATCTGTTGGCAATGTACAAAATGACAGCATGAAGATGTCACTGAGGGTCAGGTGTGCAATCTGAGATTACAAAGAGGTCTGACTTCCTGATTGTCGAGAAGACAGGGATGGAAATAGAAAAACTGATACCTATAAATTGCCTTCCAGATTTACTCCTTTTCAAGCAGGTAAAATGTTTGTGTATATAAATCTCAGAATGGTAGGAAAAGAGACAAAGCAGAAATTGTGGCCCTATGGTGAAGGTGATAGTAAATAAACCAGTTGTTGTCACATACTCTGTGGTGTAATTTATGGAGGTACAAATGCATCTATCAGCCCGGAAAAGGGGGGTAGGGGTGGCCATAGGGTGGGGGATGCTCCTTGGTTCTTCCCACGGTAACCGAAAAATCCACTTCCCTATTAAACTGCAGTATTCCCAAACCCCTTGTGTGTGTCCCTGATTTTCATATTTATGAGGCTCCTATATGTATTAAAAAAATAAAGCCAAGACCCAGCATAACAGAAAAACTCGCCCATTCCTTTGACAGAGGATTTTCGGTTAATTTATGCAGGCCCCTATTCTCTTCAGCATTTTCCCCACTGGTTGCTAAGCAACCATTTGAGTTACTGCGCATGCCTTTTTTATGATAACTGTCATTATGAATATTTTTTAATTATACAACTGGGACCATGGATTAAAACAGCATATTGTCCCTCATTCTTAGCCACAGCTTCTAGCGTGCTTGCACGCTCCTGGACTCACCTTCCAGAATTTACATGGCAGGGATTTAGGCTTTTTTTTTTTTTTTTTTTTTTTTTTTTTTTTGGTAGGTGTGCCTTCACAAAGGAAGTAGAGACTGCATCGTAAGGGAAGGGAGATTTTTGTGAAAAATGACTCCGCCATACCTCACAGGCTGCCATGGATCTGGATAGGCCAAATCAGATGTTAGAATCCTGAACCTAATGAATATCTGTTCCTGTAACTGTGCCTGCTTCCAATACTCTAAGTGATGTTAAAAGCTTACAATGCTTTAGAGACTGGTTTTCAAAGTTATAAGTCGTGAAGCATTTGCTGCTATTAAATGTGCTTTCAAATAAAGCTACCATGGGTTTGAGGGAGGGTACCGCACTAATCCCAGACACACGAGGCGTCTGCACTAATAAGTTAGTTTTTTTCCTGTCCAAGTGGCCCCGTACGCACACGAGTGCAGTTAGGCTATCTGAACGGGTTCCTCTGGCAAATACTAATAAAGGTACGCATGGTTCACAGCGTGTAAAATACTCTAAAAGGAATCGGAAAAGAAAGACACACAAAGGCTTTTCATTTGAGTTTCCGGAGTATATTCTAACATACTACTTTCTAAGTATACAGGGAGTTTGAAGACAAAGGAATATGGAAATAAAGCCATTGTGTTTGGTTTTGTTTTTTTACCAACTCAATTATTCATTTAAAAATGGAATTGTTGGTTGAATAGGACGTTTTAAAGATTTCTATCAAAAAACAGAGCCATGTTCACTCCGAAGGAGGAACTCACAGTGGACTTGACGTATCCTGTGCGTGACAGACATGGGGCTCTAATGGCATTTTAACGTGATTTCGGAGTTAGCGCAGGGAGCATTCATCTCCAGTACACTTGTGGGATTTTTCTTGATTTAAAGGGCCCCGTGTCTGTAGGCCGGGGGATGCCGTTTGCTTTTTGGATATTTTCTGACATAAACGCCTTCCTTGGTAATGTATGACTGGATCTGTGTCTGTCTGTTTCTCCCACCCTACAGTTCAGGGCGGCAGCTCAGTGAAGTCTTCATTCAGTTACCTTCAAGGAAAGAATTGCCAGAATATTATGAATTAATTAGGAAGCCGGTGGATTTCAAAAAAATAAAGGTAGATATTTTGTTTACACACTTGATAAAAAAGGGTGAAGCCGCTGAAATGATGACACTCAGGACTGGGCGGTGGCGTCCTGTCTGAGCACCATGGACACCCCCCTGCCACCTAGGGCGTGTCACCAAAATGGCGGGGAGATCCTTGGGCCTTTCCGTGTATTTAGTTAATGTGGAGAGCTCATAATGTAACCTGCATTTTATTTAAGAAGTTTCAGACTCCTCCCCCCATCCTTTTGCTGTTCTTCTGTCCCATCCTGTGCTGCTCCTTCCCCTTTACAAGAAGGGACACCTGCGGGAGGGTGGGCTCTCTGAATGGTGCCCCCTGGAGTTGTTGACTCCCATATCCCCGGCAGGGCCATCTGCTGTGAAGACAAAGGGAAAATCAAATCAGGCTTTTTCTTTTTTTTTCTTTTTTCTTTTTCTTTTTTTTTTTTTTTTTTTACCAAGTAATGATTATTTGCTTTTTTTTTTTTTTTTTCCTTCTTTCCTCTGTTTTATACAAAATTTGCATTAGGAAAGAATTCGTAATCACAAGTACCGGAGCCTGGGTGACCTGGAGAAGGATGTCATGCTTCTCTGTCACAATGCTCAGACGTTCAACTTGGAGGGATCCCAGGTATGTCTTCAGTTGTTTGAAAAATGTAGAACCTAACCTGTGCTTCTGCACTTTTAAGTGATTTCATTTTTCTGCTGTTTGAATCATTGCCTCTCCCCCAGGGGAGAATCAAAAATAAAAGCCTCTGTCGTATGCTAGCATGTAAGTAAATTGAGGCTTTGGCACTTCCAAATTAAGGCCAGCCTCTGGACCAGAGCTGTGCTAGTGCTAGCTCCTATTTGCGCTTTCCTTCAAGGCTTGGCTTCTAATTAGAGGAGGAATTCCAGGAAATCACTTAGCGTAATGCTTAAAGGCTAGAGGTACAGTTTTTGCTTTTGTCGAGACTGTGTACTTGATTATATTCACCTTCGTTTTTCTGACCTTAACCTTGCATCAGGAAGTGAAACTACTGTGATTTAAAACTAAACAAAACAAAATATACCTCTAGAGAAAAAAAGACCCACTATCTCTTAATTGCTTACAGAAAATGCTTATCAAGCCAACTGTAATAAAGAACTCCCCTTGTCTACTGTGCATAAGTAAGTGACACTCAATTGATGAGAATAAATAGGGGGAGGATACTCTCACTTCAATTACACCTGAGTTCCAGTCCCCTTTTGTAGGCACCCCTTTTTTCCCCATCTCTATTTCCAGCCCAATGCTCTTGTGTCATGAAGAAGGAAGGAGAGGTCCATGTGTCTGCCACCCAGTATCAATGTCAAGCCACCAATAAGTTCCTTAAGCTTCTCTCCAGATCTTTCTTTTTTTTCTCCACCCTCCTGTCCATTCCAATCGTTAAACTGGAGAACGTCAGAATCCTCGCATGGGTCTTTTCGGAAAAGACGGTACATTTCCAGTTCACAGTGGTGTTCTCTTGGTCGAAACACTAGTTCTCGAAAGCACACCTTCTGTATTCGAGACACTCTTGAAAGAATGCTAAAAGGAAAGCCAAGACCTCGAGGGAAAACAAGAGTCAACGAGGGTATCTTCTGCGAATGACCACTTGCAGGCCCTGGATAGATTTGGGGGGATCTTCATAACGTACTCCCAGCCCCTTCCCGTGCCACAGCCTCACTTTCTGCCCATGCCCCCTCTCGCACGTTAAGTAGAGGCACAAATGGCCTCTTAACTGGCTTCCTTCTCAGGTCATCCTGGGCACTAGTTGCTGTCTCTCTCTCTCTCTCTCACTGCTCCTGCCCATCTACTACCCACCATGTGCTATTAGGTTCTAGAACAAGTTTTGTCTCTATAGGCCACTTTCCAAAGTCATACCCTACTCTGGTGCTGTAGTCTCCTTCTTCTGCTACTTCTCACCCGAAACAGTTCATGGTCCAATCACACTGGCCCCATGAACACCTGCTTCCCCAGATACACATGCTGTTGCAAGAAACAGGACAGAGAGAGCCTGCAGACCCTTTATATGGTCACAAGACAGCAACATCTTGCCTAACGCAGTCCACGGTCATTGCCAGGAAATTGACCTCGGCGCAATGCCAGATACATGCGCTTGGTCTCCTTCCCTAAAAAGCCCCCCTCCTTTCTCAGCCCTGATGGACTCCTCCTCACCTCCTCAGCCCTGATGGACTCCACCTCAGCCCTGATGGACTCCTTACTATCCAGCTGAATTTTGATTTCTGGCAAATTCTGCCCCCCCCCCAGCCCCATCCCAGGACCCCTCCCCCACCCTCTGTCCTCCTTGCACTGTGTCCTGTGGTGCTCACTCCAGGGTGTCCCGTCACCTTCATGAGCGTGTGGCTCCTCTTTACAATAAAGACTCTTCTAGAGCTAGGGCCATTGTTTCCCATGGTTTTTTATTTGTTGACACACCTAAAATGTATCCTTTTCACCATTTTTAAGGGTACAGTTCAATATTAAGTATGTTTTCTTTATTGTGCAACAGATTTGCAGAAAGCTTTCACCTGATAAAGCTGAAACTTTGTACCCACGAAACACCTCCCCCTTGACCGCTCCCCCACCCCCCCAACCCCCGTCCCTGGGAACCTATGAATTTGACTTTAGATACTTCATAGAAGTGAATCAGACAGTATTTGTCATCTTGTGACAGGCTTATGTTACTCAGCATAGTGTCCTCAAGGTTCATCCTTGTTTTAGCAGGTGAAAGGATTTCTCTTTTTTTAAGGCTGAAGAATTCATTTTCTATATACACTGCATTTTGTTCCTCTATCGGTGGACCCTGGGTTTGCGTCCACTCTTGGCTATTAAGAATAAATAAATAATGGTGCTGTAAACATGGGTGTGCAAATCTCCCTTGGAGACCTTGTTCTCCATTCTTTTGGGTATCTACCCAGAGGCGGGATTGCTGGATCATATAGTAACTTCTATTTTTAATTCTTTGAGACAAGGGACCATTTTTGAACTTGAGATCTTAGCAACTCCCGGGGCTGTGCTCAGGTACGTGCAGACACCAAAAGGGAAGTATTGATTCGAAGAATAACAGCCAGTGCGGATAAACCAATAATAAAGAAGAGCCGCCTTTTTGTTAGGGCGTTTGCATTTTAAAGGAGGTTCCTTTACCAGAGTATTTGATAGAACAACTCGAATAAGAAGTGTGGTTTTTTAAAATATTCCTTTTGTTGTCAAAAACGAGAGGCTCTCTTGCGGAAGCCCGCCCTTCTCTGAGTATACATGCCCATGCGTGTACTCACACACGCGCGCACACACACACAAACTATCTCAACCACAAATGGGCTTGTTTACTGGAAGAATCAGTGTCTGGGTTTGAGCTCAGCGTTTTCCGGTGGGGTTTCCTGCAGGCTAAAAGCTAGCACTGGTATTTGTAAGAGGATTCACGTACAGCAAAGCAGGTGTGTTCCCCGAGGAAGAGGAGAGCACGTTGCCGCTGAGCGTCTTGGGTCCTCAGCCTGCGGGTTTTAACCGGTGCCCCATGACCCTTTAGATCTACGAAGACTCCATCGTCTTACAGTCCGTGTTTAAGAGTGCTCGGCAGAAAATCGCCAAGGAGGAGGAGAGCGAGGACGACAGCAATGAGGAGGAGGAGGAGGAGGAGGAGGAGGAGTCCGAATCGGAGGGTAAGCCCGGGCCTCTGCTGCTTCCGCGGCTTTGCCCTTCGCCGCCTGCCGAGATGCTTCCGCAGAGGCTAACAAAACAGACGTTGGAGTCCAGCAGATCTGGATGCCATTCCTTGGGCTCCCGTGTCCTTGCGGGTCCTTGCTGAGCCACCTCAGGCAGTGTACACAACCCTGCTCAAGGGCCCCTTCCTTCTCTATAAAAGCCAGGTACTAAAAACGCCCCCCGCACGGGCAGGGAGCTTAGCATAGGGCCAGCCTCCTAGCGAGCAGTCAACTGAATGTTGTCTTTGGAAAGTGAGCATGAAATACATTTTCTACCAACATTGCTGTTCATTCCCCTAACTGTTGTGTAACTCACTGGTCCTTTCACTTGGAGGGAGTTAATGGAGCGTTGATTCCTGGGTGCCACCCCCAGCGTTTCTGATTCTGTAACCTGTGTTGGGGCTTGCCAGCATTTCTAACCCGCTCCCAGGGAATCCTGAGGCTGCTGGGCCCAGGACCAAGCACACTGTGAGAGTCTGTGTCTTCGAAAATCATTGTCAAAATGAGTTGGAAACGTGGTCCATCTTAGCCATTGTGGATCAAACACGGATCCCGTCTGTATTTAAAATTTTGGTATTTTGTTCATCATGGATTTTTTTTTTTTTGCATTAATTTTGAGTTTTTCAAATACTGCATTAGGATATTTAGCTGCCTTACTGAATTTTGGTGCCTTCAGAAATTTTTTTAATTAAGTTTTTAATTTTAATGGCAGAATAGTTACCGTACAGTGTTAGTTTCAGGTGTAGGACAGAGTGATTCAACAATTCTGTACATTTCTCAGTGCTCTTCAGATGAGTACACTCCTTCATCCCTATCACCTGTTTCCTCCACCCCTCCATCCCCGCTCTGGTAATCGTCAGTTTGTTCTCTATGGTTAAGAGTCTGTTGCTTGGTTTGTCTCTTTCTCCTTGGCTCATTTTTTTTTGGTGTCTTAAATTCCACCTATGCGTGGAATCATATGGTATTTGTCTTTCTCTGACTTATTTCATTTAGCGTAATATTCTAGCTCCATCCATGTTGCTGCAAATGACAAAATTTCATTTTTTACGGCTGTGTAATATTACATTGTGTGTGTATCACATCTTCTTAACTATTCAGAAATTTTGCACCCAAGACCTCTTCTGTCTTAGCTTCATTCCAGCCCTGGGTGAGAATCCATATGTTTACACAAGGTTAAGGCTGCCTTCAAAAGTCAAAACTTTCCTAATTAGGTCCTCACCCCATACCTCCTCTCCAAGTAATTAACCCCAGTAGTTTATGGTCTGCTACATGAAACAATACAGGCATACCTCAAATATTTTTATTAGATTTTTTCCTGATTACACACTTAGTGCAGACAACATGGAAAATATTTTGTTAAGAAACAATAATTTGTAATTCCATTACCCAGTATACATTTAGCATTTTGAGAATTTGCCTTCCAGTTTTTTTCTCTACCTATTTTCTTCATAAAACCACAGCACACGGTTTCGTAGCCTAATTTTTCTGTATTATGAACATTTTTCCCATAGCAGTGAGTGCCTTCGGACAGCAATATACATAACGATTCGTTAATGAGTCTAACAAAACATATCAATCTCACTCTAAATACTGTCCTGAAAATGTCTACCCTGAATCACTGCGGACGTTGTTCAAGCATCGGTTGCCTGCAACCCACCCCCCAGCCTGGAGTGTGTGACGAGCGTCTGTCCCCACACCCACCTCTGTTCTTGGGGTCAGTCTTTGCAGTGAGTCTGCCTTTTATTACTTTGACCTTTTCCAATTCTGTACGGTTATTCCCCAGTTTTTTTTTTTTTAAACTTTTTATTTATTCACGAGAGACAGAGAGAGAGAGGCAGAGGGAGAAGCAGGCTTCTCGCCGAGCAGGGAACCCGATGCGGTACTCGATCCCAGGACCCTGGGATCATGACCTGAGCCGAAGGCAGATGCCCAACCATCTGAGCCACCCAGGCGCCCTATTCCCCAGTTGTGATATCCCACCATTGGCTGCATTAGGTCTACATAATGGACCTCGACGAGAGCTTTCCTTACTTGAGAACCGTGTCTCTAATCTGCTTTCAGAGAGCTGCTTTCTTACCCCCCGCGGATCCCCTTCTCTGAGCTCTCCTGAGACGTGGTGCGTTAGCTTTCTGGGGCCACTGTCATGAACCAGCACAAACGCAGTGGCTTAAATGACCCAAATTTATTACCTCACAATTCCGTAGGTCCTCGTGGGCTGTGGGTCTGTTTGGAGGCTGAAGGCAAGAACCCGTGTCCCATGCAGCCTCCTCACGCCGCCTCTCTTGGACCCTCTCTTCTGTCTCTTCTACTTTTTCTTTTTAAATCTTAGGGTATAAATGACATGTTAGTTTCAGGTGCACAAATACGGATTCAATAGTTGTATATGTTGTAAAAGGATCAGCACAGTAAATCTGGTTAATAGCCATCACAAGTAGTTACAAATGTTTTCTTTTGTTGGGAAAGTAGAAGATCTACCTGCTTAGCAACTGTCACATACACAGTATTAACTACAGTTACTATGCTCTGCCATAAACCACTGGACTTATTTCTTACCTAGAAGTCGTACCTTTGGACCCCCTTCACTCACCCTCCAACCCCCACCTCTGGCAACCAGCCTCAGGGTTGGTTTGTTTTTGTTTTATTTTTAAGAAATCACATTTAAGTAAGATCATATGGTTATTTATCTTGCTCATGTCATGTAGTATAATGCCCTCTGGGTCCATCCATGTTGCCACAAATGGCAGGATTTCATTATTTTTAAGGCTGAATAATATTCCACTACACACACACATTTTCTTTATTCACCCATCAGTGGGCACTGAGTTATTTTCAAATCTTGACTCTAAGTAACGCTGCAATGAACATGGGGGTTCACACATCTTTTCTTCATGGAAATACCCACATGTGGAATTGCTGGATAATGTCCTTTTTTTATTTTTTAATCTTCGAGGACCCTCTATACTGTTTTCCATGGTGGCTGCACAAATTTACATCCCCACCAACATGGTACAAGGGTCTCCTTTTCTTCACATCCTCGCCAACACTCTTATTTCTGGTCTTTTTGATACTAGCCATTTTAAGAGGTGTGAGGTGATACCTCATTGTGGTTTTGATCTCCCATTTCCCTGATGATGAGAGATGTTGAGCACCTTTTCATGTACTTGTTGGCCATCTGTATGTCTTTGGGAAAATGTCTATTCAAAATCTTGGCCCATTTTTTTAATTGGATTGTTTTGCTATTGAGTTGTAGAAGATCTTTATAGATTTTGAATATTGACTCCTTAACAGAGATGATTTGCAGTTTTTTTTTTTTTCCTCCCATTCAGTAGGTTGCTTTTTTATTTTGTGGATCATTTCCATTGCTGTGCAGAAGCTTTTTCATCTGATATAGTCACACTTGTTTTTGATTTGGCTGGCAGTGATTTTTTGGAGTGGACACCATAAGTCCAGACCAATGTCAAGGATCTTACTGCCTGTTTTCTTCTAGGAGTTTTATGGTTTGGGGTCTTATGCTCAAGTCTTCAATCCATGTTGAAATAATTCTTGTTATGTGTAAGATAGTGATCCAGTTTTTTTTGTTTTGTTTTGTTTTTTGCATATGGTTGTCTTTTTTTTCCAATACCACTTCCTGAAGAGACTGTCCCTTCACCATTGTACATTCTTGGCTCTGTTGTAAATTGACCGTTTTATTTCTGGGCTCTCTATTCCATTGATCTGTGTGTCTGTTTTTAATGACACTACTATGCTGTTTTGATTGCTACAGCTTTAGGATATAGTTTGAAATCAGCGTGGTACCTCCAGCTTTGTTCTTTCTCGAGATTGCTTTGGCTACTCTGGATCTTTTGTGGCTTCATACAAATTTTAGGGGATTGTTTCTTCAATTTCTGTGACAAATGCCATTGGAATTTTGATAGATTGCATTTAATCTACAGGTTGCTTTGTGTAGTATGGACATGTTAACAATGTTATTTCTTCCAGTTGATAGCACTGATACTTTTTTCCATTTCCCTGTATATGCTTCACTTTGTTTCATTAATGTCTGACAGCTTTCAGTTTACAGGTCTTTCACCTCTGCGGTTGAATTTATTCCTAGCTATTTTGTTCTTTGTGAGGCAACTGCAAGTAGAATAGTTTTCTTGATTTTTTTCTGAGAGCTTGTTACTCGTGTGTAGAAACACAAAAGATTTTGGCATATTGATTTTGTATCATTCCACTGAATTCTTTGACTAGCTCTAACATACTTAGAAATCATTAGGGGAAACTTTAGGGTTTTCTGTATATAATAAGATCTGCAAATAGTGACAGTTTTTCTTCTTCCTTTCCAACTTGGGTGCCTTTTCTTGTTCTTGCCTAACTGTGCAGGGTAGGACTTCCAATATTGTGTTGAATAAAAGGGGCAAGAGTGGGCATCCTTGTTTCTGAACCCGATCTTAGAGGACAGGCTTTCAGATTTTCTTCATTGAGTATAATATTAGCCGTGGGCTTGTCATATATGGCCTTTATTATGTTGAGGTATTGTCCTTCTATATGTACTTTGTTGAGAGTTTCTATCATAAATGGATGTTGAATTTTGTCAAATGCTTTTCCTACATCTATTGAGATGATCATCATTTTTATCCTTTGTTTTGTTAATGTGATGTATCATGTTGATTGACTTACAGATTTAAACCATCCTTGCATGCCTGGAATAAATCCCTCTTTATCTATATTTTATTTTTAAGTAATCTTTAACCTAATGTGGGACTCACAATTCCAAGACCAAGAGTTACCTGTTTGACCGACTGAGCCAGCCAGGCGCCCTGGAATAAATCCCTCTTGATTGTGGTATATGATCCTCCTAATGTGTTGTTCAATTTGTATTGCTAATGTTTTATTGAGGATTTTTGCATCTGTGCTCATCAAGGATATTGGCCTGTAATATTTCCTTGTAGCATCCTTGTCTGGTTTGGTACCAGGGT